TCTCCTTTATTATTTACCTGGCAATAGGTCATTCAGCCTCTGCTAGAAAATCTCTAGCTGAGGGGAATGAAGTGAGCAGAACTGGAGAAACTCTACACTGTGACATAAGAGAGAAAAACACCTTTGAAGGGCTTCAAACTCAGATTAATACAATGATAAATCATGAGTCCAGAGGACCGAAGTGGAATCATGCCATCCACTTCCTACGTAAGAAGGGATATCAGAATGAAATGTGTGTTCAGATATGAAGATGAAGAATATGGGTATTTATTTTGCTGGACTATACATACTGATGATATTTGTTTGGGTTTTGTTCTGTGGAGAGAGTCATAATGTTCCCTGTTTCCTGAGAGGGAATCCTCTTTCCTAAGGCAGCTGGTACTTTTGGCTAACTCAAATTCTTTTTTTTTAAAATTATTAATTAATTTATTTTGATTTATCAATAATCACTTCCATAAGCTTTTGAGTTTTAAATATTTCTCCCCCCTCTCCCCACTTCCCTCCCCAAGATGGCAAGCAATCTGATATAGGCTATACATATACATTCCTATTAAACATATTTTCACATTAGTGATGTTGTAAGGAAGATTTAGAACCAATAGGAGGGACCACCAGAAAGAAGAAACAACATAACAGAAGAAAAAAAAATAGCAAATAAGCTTCAATCTGCATTCAAACACCATAGTTCTTTCTTTGAATGTGGATAGCATTTTCCATCATGAGGCCTTTGTCTCGAGATGTCTTAGATCCTTGTATTGCTGAGAAGGATTAAGTCTATCAATATTAGTCATCACACAACATGGCTGTTACTGTATACAACATTCTCCTGGTTATGCTCACTTCACTCAGCGTCAGTCCATACAAGTCTTTCCAGGTTTTTCTGAAGTCTGCCTGTTCATAATTTCTCTCTCTCTCTCTCTCTCTCTCTCTCTCTCTCTCTCTCTCTCTCTCTCTCTCTCTCTCTCTCTCTCTCTCTCTTTTGGCAATTAGGGTTAAGTGACTTGCCCAGGGTCACACAGCTAGTCAGTGTAAAGTGTTTGGTCTAAGACCAGATTTGCACTCCGGTCCTCCTGACTTCAGGGCTGGTGCTGCATCCACTGTGCCACCTACCTGCCCCTCCCGTTCATCACTTCCTATAGCACAATAATATTCCATTACATTCATATACCACAACTTGTTCAGACGTTCCCCAGTTGATTGGCATCCCCTCAATTTCCAATCCTTTGCCACCACCAAAAGAGCTGCTATAAATATTTTTGTACATGTGGATTCTTTTCCCATTTGTATGATCTCTTTGGGATATGGCCCTAGAAGTGCTATTGCTGGGTCAAAGGGTATGCACATTTTTATAGCCCTTTGAGCATACTAACTCTTAATTCTTGAAAGCTGGGTGGCACAGAGGCTAGAGTGCTGGACCTGCAATCAGGAAGACCTTAGTTCCACTCCAGCCTTAGACACTTAGTAGCTGTGTAATCCTGGGCAAGACACATAATCTATGCCTCAGTTTCTTTAACTGTAAAACAGGGGATAATAATAACAGCTACTTCTCAGAGTGGTTGTGAGAATTAAATGACAATATTTTTAAAGCACTTAGCATAGCTCCTGGCATATAGTAGGCACTTAGTAAATGCTTGTTCCCTTCCCCCCATTCTTACATATAGTTCTTCCTTATCATAACCTCCAATTTCTCTCAAACTTCCATCCATTCATTCTTAGTTTTGCCTTCTGTGGACAAGTAAAATAACTCTCATTGGTGATGGACCAGAGGTGTAGAATGAAATGTGTAGTTTTAGACATGGTCAGTGTACTGATTTATTTTGGGTGAGTATACATTTTTATTGCAAGAGAGAATTTCTATTGGAAGGGGAATGAGGTCTTGGGAAATAAAAGAAATGTAAAAAAAGAAGTATCAATAAAAATTTTAAAACACAAAAGTAAACAAAAAGAATTTTAGACAGGGACACAAGTAGGACATTTTTTTTTACTACTTTGTTAAAGTGAATATATAGGGGGTTTTTTTTGGGGGGGGGCATGAGGCAGTTGGGGTTAAGTGACTTGCCCAGAGTCACACAGCTTGTGAGTGTTGCATATCTGAGGGCAGATTTGAACTCAGACCCTCCTGACTCCAGGGCGGGTACTCTATCCACTGCGCCACCTAGCTGCCCCATGAATATACAGTTTTTAAAAATAAATTTATCACTCTCATATACAATTCTCCTTTTTTGTTCTTAATGAGTATAAGCATTTTGGCATTAGTCAGTGGCTAGTCCACAGAAGTAAAAGCTAGCCCGTGCACCAGGTTTGACCTATCCTAATGATATTTATCTTAAAATCTTTTTACATCTAACTGAGGTTCTAGGGAGGCTGGAAATACAGGATATCAAAATTCTTTTGTCTTGTGTCTTACTTTGCATCTGTAAAATAGGCTTCATGCCAACTCTCTGGGCCATAAACAGGTATATTAAAATATCCAAGAAAGAAGTAGTGCTATGTGTACAAGTAGTTCAAAGAACACCAACTGGGATTTCTATCACTTTAACCTCAATGGTTACTTGTAATGATGATTTAGATTAAGACTGGTTTATTGCAAATTGCTTTAAAAACTCAGCATCACAGTATTTTCACTTTAGGAGAATCTTTGGGTACAGTCCTATTATGTGATCTAATGCTTTCATACTATAATCAGGAAACTGAGGGGACCCATAATGGTTAAATGTCTTACCAAAGACATATATAGCAAAGACAGAATTTAAAACCAGGTCATCTGATTAACTCTAAACACCAGCATGCTTCACACAGTGAGTAAATTACTTAATGTTTGTTGTGCTAAATTGAATTGGGAGGCGGTATTATAATTAATTATGTGAAAATATTAGGAATAAATTAGGAATTAGGCAATCCTCATTCTAGTTCCAGCATTGGGCCATAGTGGTTCTTACTCATGGTTCCATAGCATTTTAAGGTTTATTAAACACTTTTCTCATGTGTACCCTGTGCTTAATTTTAATGATTCATCAGAATAAAATGGAAAATGGAAGCATCCAGCAATTAATAGAAAGACATAAAGAAATTCTGTTAGCAAGCATTTTACAATAATTTTATTATAAACTTAATATCAAAACAGAATAAAAAATAAAATCAAACCCAAAGTATAAATTCTAAACTTCTTACCCTTTGTGTTCAATTTCTGTATGAACTTTAAAAAACAATAAAATAAGAGAACATTTATATAATCCTTTAAAACTTGCAGAGTGCTTCTCATTCTGTAACCATAGAGTAAAGGTGGAAGAAACCTTAAAGGTCATTATGTCTAACCTCCTTGTTTTACAGATGAGAAAACTAACACAGTGCCTGGCACATGGTAGGTCCTTAATAAATGCTAGCTGACTGAGGCAAAAATGACTTTTGCAGGGTCACATAGCTGTTTAATTTCTGAGGCAGGATTCAAACAGAGATTTTTCTGACTCTAGGCGCAGTACCCCAGGCACTTTGCCAGGGTGTTTCCCATAACAACCTCATGATGTAGATGCTATTGTTATCCATTTTTCAGATGAGGAATTTGTGGGCAAAATAAATTCAGTGACTTGCCCAGAGTCACAGGTAGTTTAAGTCTTCCTGAATCCAGGTCCAGCCCTCTATCCAAGATGGCATGCTACCCCTCTCTATGTACAATAATTTACTTCTGTGTCTCTTGATCTTTGCTTCTAGGTTTTAATTTTTTTTTAAAAAAAAGCCAGACTTGTTATTTCCTTGGTCTAGGAAAGTATCCATGAAATGGTCTCCTGTCCTCATGACACTATCTGCTTTGGATCACAGGGCTGGCCGAGTTCCTGCTATTTACTGTGATGCTCCGCCTCTTTAAAAAAGTTGTTATTAAATCATGATGTTTACGTTATTTTAATTCTGCTTTTTCCATTTTGCATCCCTTTGTGGGAGAGATTATTGTTCAGGTGGGTGGTAGAATACAAAGCTTCTGACATCTCTTAATTGTAAGATTCTGAAATTCTGTATGTTTTCCCATATTTGCGTGTAGCCTTCGTCTTTATCACTTCTCATGGCACAATAATATTTAATTAAGTTATTTAGCCTCTCTACAAGTTTTTAACATATAGGTTGTTTATAGTAGGAGGTTTCAGTTATTGTTACTATTAAAGCTACAATGAACATGCTTATTCTGATAGGTCATTTTCTTTCCCTTTTAATAACCTTAGGATACAGTCCTATTAGTGGGATCTCAGGGTCAAATGATATGCTATCGGTTTCATAAGTAACATACTTAAAAAAAAAAAGTAAAGGAAAAAATAAGAATATTGAAGTTTGATCTGATGTGTTCTGTGGGGGATACTTTTAAAGAGAATTGCAGTGTAAGTCAATATAATTTATTGAATTTGTTAAAAAAAAAAAAAAGAAAGAAAGAAAGAAAAATAACAGATTTTAGCAATGTCATGACAGAAAGCAACTGTAGCTTTTGCTCTCTAGGAGCCTAGCGCAGTATCTTGCATCATTAGCTCCCTTAAGGAGTACCAACAGTGAAAATTGCAAGCCAGATGGGATGTCCCTACTTAGTAACTGCTGCAGTGTAAATAAACATCTGCAAGAAATACAAGTCTGTACAGGCAGAAGTGGAAGAGGGTGTCTTTTAGAAGAGGTTGGTGTCTTCCAAGCTGACTGCTACCAACTTCTGCCAATCAGTCTTTTAGATTCTGAGCGTCTAGCCCTGGAGAGGCACTGCCTTCTCTTGGTAAATGGTTTTGGTTTGTTTTTTCTTTTTTTCCTTGCTGGCAATCTCTGTCATGCTTGGAGGTTTGGAAGGTTTCTTCCGAAGCAGTTATTGGTTGCCTTCCCCAGACTGACAGGGTTGGCTGTGGGACTCCTGGAGAGAAAGTTTCCAGTTACCAGGATGGCAAGCCCCTACGTAGGAGGAGGGAGGTAAGTATGCAGAACTGCGGTCACTACTCTTTCTGATTGGCTGTCCAGTGCAGCTGCTTCCTCGGAACAAAAGGTCAAAGAGGACTGCAGAGTGATTATAAGAGCAATAGCCCTGCTGGAAGAGCTGTGTGGACCTCGAGAAGCAGGAGGCTCGATTTTTCAGGAACTCGCCGACTCCCTTGGCTACGAGTTTGCAGCACGCAGCCTCCAGCTGCCAGTCCCAACACAGTCCTTGGGGCTCAGACCCATCTTAGAAGAAATTGCCTGAATTCAGAGACTACCAGATCTGTTACAGAAGAAGCAGTTCCAAGATCCCCTTGTAAATTTTGATACTGCAATGGCTTGTGAAATCATGCCTCTGCAAAGGTATTCATTTTTGTCTTGTTTTATTTTGTCTTACCTGATTAACATGCAAACCATATAACTTTACCAGTTACCTAGCTAATACTGAAGTCATATATTAAGAGTGTGTCTGTGTAAAAAGGTTTTATTTTCCTCCAGACAGTCACAGTGACTAATTTTATTTCTGACTCTCTCATTTGATTACTGGGAAACAGGATTGCTCAACTGTCCTCTTTATTGAATACAGATGAATATAGGAAGAAACAGCAGATAAGTGAATTTTCAGAGTACCTGAGGAAAAGAAAACAAGGAATAGATTCAGCAGGTTTTCAGGAAGACTTTAATTTCCTCATTTGCAATATGGTAAAATAGTAAAAGATGGATATTTAGCTTAAGTGATGCGGAAAAGCTAAAGACCATCTCTTATACTCCTGCACTGAGGACCCTTCCTCTCTAGATTTCATACCTAGGCAATTTTTTTGAAAATCAATATCTATCTTGTGATAAAGAGAAATTGTAGGAGGCCGCCATATGTTATTCTCTTTTGCATAATTCTTCGCGTATTAATGCAAAGAGTGTCTTCCACATGGAAGTGAAATTGTCTTGTTTATTTAGTATGTATTCTGTGTGCATTTAAATGTGTACATGTTGTCTTTCTCAGATATAAGTTCCTTGAGATCAGAAACCATTTGATTTGTATAGCTCTCATGCTCTAGTGCCTACCTCACTACCTGGCACATAATGGAGGATTTTATATTTGACCCTGAAAGCCACTGGATTTTACTGGAGAAAGGGGTGAGATATTCAGACCTGTGCTACAGTGGCAGCTACATGGGGGCTGGAATAAAGTTGGGAGGAACTTGAGGGGGGAATCCCATCCATATTGCTATTCCAATAATCCAGGCATGAAGGGATGAGCTCCTGAACCAAGATGGTGGCAGTGTCAGAGGAGAGAAGAAGTGAGATATGAGAAGTGTTCTGAAGGTAGAATCAACAGGATTTAACAACACTGGTATGGAGTGAAGAGTAAGTGTTGAAGATGACTCCTGGGCTAGTAGCCTGAAATGACTGGAAGGATAGTGGCACCCAACACTAATAGGGAAGATAGGCAGAAAAGGAGGGTTTGAGGGGAAAGATAACAAGCTCAGTTTTAGACACGTTGAGTTTAAAATGTTTGTAGAATATGCAATTGGAGATGTCCAATTGGCAGTTGGAGATAGGAGAATGGAGGTGAGGAGAAATGTAAACAATAGATTAGTAGATCTGGGTATCGTCTGCATAGAGATGGTCATTGAATCCATGAGAGCTGATGAGATCCCCAAGTGAGACAGTATAGAAAGAGAAGCAAAACGGACCCAGGATGGAGACTAGTGGGACAGCCATAGTGAGTGGGAATGGCTGGCCATAGATCCAGCAAAGGAGACTGAGGAGAGGTCAGAAAGGTAGGAAGAGAACCAGGATAAAGCAGTGTCCAGAAAACCTAGAGAGAAGAAAGTATCCAGGTGGAGGTGGGGTGGGGGTAAGTATGAACACTGTCAAGGGCTATAGAGGTCAAAAAAAAGAAGGAGGATTGAGAAAAAAGCCACTAGATATGTCAATTAAGAGATCATTGATGAATTTAAGATCACATGATGCAGACATTTTTCAAACCTCTCCAGCTATCCAGAGATAGCTTTGAAGTGCAACTCTCCAAAACAGGAGTTGTGAGCAAGAGATAAAGCAATTCCAACTATCTCCATAGCCTGAGGCAGAGGTGTCAAGTATGTAATCTTCAGGCTGCATGTAGCCCCCAACACTCCTGAGTACATCCTGGACCAGATTAAATTGTAATTGGGAAATATTTAACAAAGTAAATGAAAAGGCAATAAAACATAAACAATATTAGTATGTTGTTTTCGGAGACATTATGTGGCCTGCAAGGATTCTTATGTATGGTTGGTTAAGTGACTTTGTCTCCATTTCTATTCGAGTTTGACACCACTGGTCTAGGATACTAAGAACTCTAACAAGATAACAATTCAATGAACTAACAGCAGAGAAGGTTATTCCCTAACATGTTCATTCAGTACCTTTTCCCACCACCCACCATGCTTCTGCAGCAGTAGGGCTACACAAGCCAGTCCATTGACTTGCAACGGAACTCAACTGTGCCCCCTCAATAGCACCCCAAACCAATCTGCAAAAAGCTAATGCTTGCTCAGGTTGGTACAGTAGCATAGCAGTGTTCTGTGCTGCAACAGAACTCAGCCAGAGAACTAAGGAACAGAGGGAAGTGAAACAGAACACGTGTGGCACTCTACAAGCCTGAACAAAAGAACCTATTTTCCAACTGCAGCCACTTCTGTTCCCCCAGAAGACACTTAGTGAAGAGACAGAGGACAACGAAATGTGGATTTCTTAGCATACAAGGACACTGAGATGGTTTTGAAGTACAACTTCCAGGGAGAAAAAAAAATCAAATGGAAAGGCGTAAAAAAGGGAGCAATAGGAGGATATGTAGAAAAAAAGATTGAAATTACCAAAGATCTCAGAAGATTAAAAAAACTCAGTTAAAGGCAAACAGAGAGTATAACAATAACAGAAAGCAATCTGGCCTACAGATCCACTAAAAGAGTATAGATATCTATAAATAAATTTTGCCAGACAAAGGAAAATTAATCAACATCTGATGAAGCAGAGTACCATGGGGATTCCCAAGAGATCGTGGAATAACAGTCGGATGTTTCTGAATAGTTTAAAAGAAATAAAATTTGTGAAAGCATAACTTATGGCCTGCGCAGCAGAATAGAAACCATTCAACTTGTGATGATGTATCACCAAAGAAACAACAAAAAAAGAGGATAACTGGTAATACAAAACCAAAGGAAAAGATAATCTGCAAGCAAAAAAAAAAAAATAGCATTAAAAGAAAACATGATTTCCATCCAAGCAAAACATTGGTCTCAAAGATAGGATATATGTAGAGACAACTTCAGTATTTTAGGTCTCCCAAAAGAACACAGCAAGGAAAAAAATCTTGAACACTATAAGCAAAAAAAACCAAACAAACCATAAAAACTATCCAGAACTTCTGAATAGAGAAAATAAAGTGCCAATCTAAAGAATCCAATTATTTCCTCCAGAAGAGCAAAAGAAAACAAAAAATAGAACAAAACAAACAAAAACTATGCTTCGAAGTCCAAGACATCTAGTGATTGAATTTAACAAGCCAATGACAAGCAAGAAATTCTGCAAACAACCAAAAGAAAGACCTTCAGAAATAAAGGTGAGCAAATTCAAATAACATGAGTATTCTGAACTCACTGGAAATCAAAGGATAAAATAGAATGATGTGTTTTAAAGAGCCAAAGAGCTCAAGATGTAACCCAGGGTGACACACCCTGCAAACCTGAACTGAACTTAAAAAAAAACACGGGCATTTAATAAAAAGAGGCATTTGAAGCAATCTTAGGAAGAAAACCAGAATTGAACAAATAATTTACTTTTCAAAAAGCCTAGACAACAGATAGACAAGAAAGTAAACAAATACAACAACCAAGAACAACAACAAAATCACAACAGAGAAATCATTAAAAGATTTCTTTCTTAAAGTACAGAGACAAAAATGAAAACAGAAATCAAGTAGAAGTGATGGTGGAGAAATAGACTCCAAATAACATTAATTAAACCTCACAACACTCCACCTACAGGTGAATCATTTTTTTTAATGGAATAGAATTACAAAACAGGATGGCAAATAAAAGGAAATAGTAGAGGATGAAGATAAAGGAAGGATATGATGTACCTTAATAAAGTCAAAGGCTAACAATGAAGGAAAAATAACTCCCTTAGTCTCTCAACAAGGGAGCCTAGAGGAGAATGGGCAAGGAGGCAAAGGGAGGAAGTTAAGGGGAAAGAAAGAAAGAAATCTTATTTCTTTGCTGGGAAGGTGATATCACTGAAGGATGCTCTTGTGGGGGAAGAGAGATATTCTACAAAGGAAAGTGGGGAACTTACAGTGGGTATAATCTGCCAGGATTTGGTGCTAAGAGAAGGCACCTCAAGAAAAGAGGAATCAGAACTCCCAGGGCCAACTGGCAGAATAGTATGGGGACAGCTATTTCAAGGCAAATGGGGAGAAATGACCATAAGTAAGACAAAGATTAATGATGAACTGCACAATCATGGACAAGAACAACTCCTCCCATGGGGCAATACTCTACCACCTGCAGGAACTGGCATTTCTGAGAATGAGGGAAAACAGAAAAAGGCTGCTAGAGGCAAGATCTACAAGAAAATAACATGGAAACTGAATAGAAGAGGGAACCCAAAGTAGGTACCTTCGAAGATTTAATTCCATGAGGAATACGAAGAAGAAAGATGTATTTAGCTATAAGGGTGATGAATCAAAGAATAAAGGTCTAGAATAGACTGAAAGGGAAGGTAAATAATGAAGAGAATGAGGGGGAATCCTTTTTGAAAAGGTAGGGAAAATAAAAAGCTAACAAATGAAATAAGTTGAAGGGGAGGAGAAGAAGGGGCATTTTGCTTAACTGTTTAACTGAGAGGAAAATAAAGGGGGAGAAGTATTAAATAACTAGAAAAAAGGAAGTAGGAAAAAGGAACTAATAAATCAAGCAAAACTACAGAACAGAGTACAGGAGGAGTGGGCCTGGGCATGAGAGGAAGAGAGATGAGAAGAATAAGGTTGCTATAAAGCAAATTAAGCTAAAATAACCTAAGAGACAAAGTATTTTGTTTACGGGGGGGGGGGGCACGGGAATCCTGATCTGGACCAAAAAAGACACTAATGGAGGAAAATATAAACCTAGCTCTCATAACATTAAGTGTGAATGAATTAAACAATCCAATAAAATAAAAAAATAATAGATTTGCTAAGAAAACAAAACCTGACACTTGCTTACAAAAAACCCCATACATTTAAAAAGAAAGTCACATAGAATAAAAATGAAGAACTGGGAAAAAACTAAGTAATCAGGTAATTAAAAAAAAAAAGGAGGAGTCATAATTATACTACCAGACAAAGCAAAAACAAACATTCACAGCATATAAAGGGATAAATAAGGAAACTACATCATGCTGAAAAGAATCATAGACAACAAACCAATATCGTTGTTGAACTTATATGCTCCAAAAGCCTTAATATATACATCAATAAAGGAAAAAATAACTATTACAAGAAGACATAATGGCAGGAGATTTCATGTCCCTCTCAGTTTTGGATAAGTCTAAGAGAAAGATAAACAAAAGGGAAAATATTGAATTGGGCAAATTACTAGAGAAACCATAGCGAAAAGATTTATGACGTCTTTTTGGTAAGGAAAATATGCATATATATAAATACATATATGTATTTGTCATGACCACATGAAACTTTTACAAATGTTTATCATGTATTAGAGCACCGAGATGTTGCAAATAAAATTGAAAGTGCAGAAACATAAACTTACCCTTTAAAACCATTATGCAATAAAAATGTTAATCTGTTCAGGGAGGACAAACAAAATGCACAGACCCAAATTTAAACTTAATGATGGAATACTAAATAATAGGTGATTCAAAGAACAAATCATAAAAATTAGTAATGATATGAAAAAATTATTATGATGAAACAACATACCATAATTTCTGAGATGCAGCTAAAGAATTTTTCAGGGGAAAAATAAAATCACTACATTTGTACATGAACAAAATAGAAAAAAAATACTACTTAGACACTACATCATTGATTGCGCATCCCTCTTCCTAATAAAATTCATTCTAATATTGGAAGACAACTCTCATGTCTCCCAGTTTTTAAAGAGCATGACCTTTTTCTTGTTGTCTTCTAACAACTCTAGTTCTGCCAACCTACCTTTATGTTACTCAAGCATGGTACTAACCCCAACTCTTCCCAGATTCTCTCTCTTGCTTTCTGTAGGCTGAGGCTATCTCACTTATGTTCTCTCAAGCCATTTCAACAGGTTGGCATGATTGCCAAGAGTAGCAGCTACTATTCTAATTTTCAAGTTCCTAGGTATATCCCTTTAGGAGTATTCTCACCAATACTACAGCTCATGAACTCCCACCTGTATATTGTCCATTTACAAATTATCCACTCATATTCAGTTAATCTAATCTTAACTAACATATTTACTGAAAATACAAAACACTCAATAGTTAAGTAATCTTTAACCATAATTCTCAATTATACTCTTCCTACAATGCAGAAAATTATTGTTAGGGAGAATAAGCATGCACCTAAATCAGGTAGGGGACGTGTCACAAAGGCAACTCACAACTCTGGAACAGTACACTTTGTTTTCCTGTTTCTCTTTTGGGAATCATCCATAAACGAACCTTGATGAGCTTAGCATAGCATGATGAATGTTGGCTAGATATTTCCATTGCTAACCTGAGCTGATCCACAGTGTTCTGGAGTAACACCTCACAACCACAGTAGACAATCTTTTGGGTAGTATTTTTGATTCCCTGCTTCCAAGCTTTTCCTCAGCTCATCTGGACTTCAAAGCTTTTCCTAGTTCAGTTGGACTTATTACTGTGGTATACACCACGTCCAGCTTCAGGCTAAGTTCATACCTTCAGCAGGAGTAATGTTAGGCTCTTTTGGGAAAAGGAAAAGACCTTTAGGCTAAAGTCGGCAAGAAATCTCTCCACTACTATTTCTTTGAAAGATTTTTCTCCTCTTGGCAATATTATGTAGCAATGAAGATAAGTTATCTTCTTCTCAGCAAGAAATCATAATAGGAGGTGAATACATTTTTCTATTCCTTCTTATTTTTTTCAGCAGCCAGTCAAAATAGAATATTTTCTATTCTTGTTCTTCTTAGGAGTAGATGGCCTCTCACTGGCCAACCAACCAATCTACCTGGTAATGTATCAGTGCCTAGAAAAAGTTATCAACTCTCTTTGACACAATTCAAAAAGCTGTTTTTCACCTCTTTCTTCTCTCTGTCTCTGAACTTTTCTTGGTTCAGCAGCTGGGCTCTCTCTGAACAACCATGGTACAGCTTATGGTTGGTAAAACAAATTCTCATCTTCTGTCTATAATCAGATAAATTACATTTGTCCTATAATATGTTCTGGTGTCTAGATTTCCCAGGTTATTAACCTAAAAGTTCACCAATTCTATATGCAGACTATGTTCTCCATTCATTCTAATGTCCTAGAGCTTGTCATATACAAATATATATACAGATATACAAATGAACAATTCCTGTCTTACAATGAAACTTTGAATTAAATTTAATTCAATCACTGCTTGTCTTAGAACTCTGGGGCAGAATTATACCCCAGATAAGTGAACTATCAAGGCAGCCATAACTCAGCAACTGCTTTTCTCAGAGATAGATATTCTCTCAGACAACTGAATTGTCAAGAGACACCCCACATTTACAACATGGTTTCAGACCTCTCACCATTCTGGTTAACGTCCCCTAGATATATACCTTCCTCTAGGTGTTCAAAGGGACAAAGTGACTTTTAAAATAGAAGGTCATAGCACTCAAGGTACACAGTATGACAAGTGTAGATCACAGTAAGACTATTTTCTCCTTTATTCTCAATACAATATTTATACATAAGTATATATCATAAGATTGTTTTTGCTTTTTGGCTACCATGTCTTACTATTGATTCATCTTAAATTTGATTTAATTTATTGAATAAATAAAAGCCATTGTATTTGATAACTAAAAATTACAGATTCTACTATCAATCATGTTTCCCATGTTTCCTTTGATATATATGTATATACATAATATGCATATATATATATATATATATATATATATATACATACATGTGGTTGTAAGACGTTTACAAAAGTGACAAGTTAATGATAGATACAGCTAGTTTTTCTTTAAGAAATCTAAAACTTTGAGAAAATTGGTTGATTCCAACCAAATATTAGTCAACAGTAATTTATTAGTAGATAACATCTGTTGTCTTGGCAGTATAATGTGGGAGGGGGCAAAGTAACTTTGTAGTCTGAAGGCAAGTGAGTGGACCAGTTCTAGTTCAGTGTTTTTTTTCAGCTCTATATCTCTTATCTGTGTTTTTTTCAATTATAGCTTGAGAATGCATTATTCTAAGATCAATCAACAAATATGTATGTACCTGCAGGATGTTATATGCACTATGAAGAATGCAATAATAAGTCTTTTTTTTTGCTGGGAAATTTACAGTTTAATCAGAAATAAGATGAAAAAAACATGTAAAAACAAAAATTGATAGCTATACTATGAGAGTAGTATTGAGTATTAAGTTCTGCAGTAGATTAAGTAATCAGTGCCATCTGTTCAGATATTTTTAAAAAATCTCAATTTCTAATAAATGAAGGACAAAATAATTTTGTTTCTATGAAGTCTAGATTTAATGCAAAAGATTTTAACTTAAAATATTCTGGTGTAAATATTGCTAAAACTATATTTTATTATGATTTTATATTAATTTAATGTTTATTTTAACTATGCCTTTATGGAACCTTTAAATTTCACTAATGTGGACTGAAACTTATCAGAGAAACTTGGCGGGGAAAAGCAAAGTGCCTCGTTACTGTGTTGATCAATGTGCTTTGCTGTTGCTAAAAGAATTGTTCCTATAGTACTTCATACACACACTCATTAATTATTGGCTATTAATCGGTTTTGCCTTCATGATAATGAGCTACAGTTAATTTTATGTTAGTAATTCAGACAGCGCATACACTGTAAAAGTTCTAACAAAATTAAAATACTGTGGTGATTTCTTTTACTGAAATAAAGTAGTTAAATGCTTCCCTTTAACAGTATGATCCTGGTTGAAGTGAAAAGTCCTGCCTCAGTTTCTCTGGAAGAGGTAACTTTCCTTAACTGAGTGATCATTTCCAATTGGAATAACATTTGATCTACTTTAACCTATGCTAAGGTTAGCATCAATGTACCAAAATGAATCCTATTCCACTCATACCATACTTAAACTTTAGCTTTACAAAAGCAGCTATTTTGCTACAAATTAACTTGTTTAAGCAAATAAATAAACTATATACTAATTTCAAATGTATTTTCCTTCCAGTTCTCAAGAAGAAGAAAGACCCATGTCACCTTTTTATTTAAGGTATTTTTTTATTTGTTTGTGGGTTTAGAGGAGCTTAAGGGTTCTTTTAATGTATTTACTCATCCACTTTATGATGTATTCTGAAACTCGGCTACATTAAGACGTAACTATCAGCCTCTGTTATTTTCTGACAGGGAACTTGAAATTTTTCCAACAAACAATTGAAAAGGATAGGAGAAAAATAAACAGATATGTCAGACAATTTTAACTTGAAAATCCCCTAATAATTCTGCTCTTCTCCATTGAACTCATTCTGTTCTATTGCATTGTATCACTATTTTGCAGGATGTAGGGAACTGGCCTCAGAGTTAACAAGACATGGATTTAATTCCTACCCGTGACAGATAGCTGTGTGGCTTGGGCAAATCACTCACCCCTTTGGTCACAGGCAACTCAGTAATGCTATAAGTTACAGAGTCAAGTCAATGACAAGTCAACAAACCTTGAAGTGTCTGAAGTCTTTAAAAGACTTTGATCAGTATATGTGGTAACCTGAATTGAGTAAGATTGAGCTTTCAGACAAGTGAAGCCAATAATCATTTATTAAGAGCCAGGCACTGAGCTAAACTCTGGGGATACAAAGAAAGGCAAACACATTCTGTGCTCTCAAAGACCTCACAATCTAATGAGAGACAGCATGCAAACAGCTATGCACAAACAGGATAAATTGGAGATAATCTCAGGAGGAAGAAACTAGTATGGGTGGGGGGGAAGCAGGGGTCAGGAAAGGCTTATTATAGTAAAGGGTAGAAAGCTGGGATTGAAGGAAGCCAGGGAAGCCAAGCTGGAGATGAGAAGGGAAAGAATTCCAAGAATAGGAGACAGCCCGTGAAAATGCCCAGAGTTAGGAGATAGTGCAGCATCCTATGGAAGAAACAGCCAAAAGGCCATTCAGACTACATAGATGTAAGGAAACTGAAAGTGTACGAAGGGGCCAGGTTGTGAAGCGCTTTAAAAGCCAAGCAGAGGATTGTATATTTGATAACAGAGTCATTAATTGAATAGGATTCTGATATGGTCAGATCTATGCTTTAGAAAGATCGTTTTTGACAGCTTGAGTGGATGATAGACTGGAGTGAGGAGATACTTGAAAAAGGGAGACCAGCCAGAAGGCTCTTGCAATAGGTCAAGCATGAGGTGATGAGGGCCTGGACCAGGATGCTGGCACTCTCACAGGGGGAAGGTGGAACATGTCATATGAGAGATGTTGTGAAGATAAAATTAATAGGCTTGGCAACAGATTGAGTATGGAGAGAGAGAATGAGGAAATGAGGATGACCGTTAGGTTGTGAGCCTGGGTGAGTGGGAGGATGGTGGCACCCTTGAGCGACAGAGAGGTCTGGGACATGATGAGATTACGATGTCTAGGGTACATCCAGTTCAAGATGTCCAATAGACAGTTGGAGATGGAAGATTCGAGGTCAAGAGACAGGTTAGAGGTTAGAGATGATCATTGAATCCATGGGAGCTGATGAGATCACCAAATGAAATAGTATAGAGGGAGAAGAGAAGAGGGACCAGAACATAACTGAGAGGGAGACCCACTATAAGTGGGCAGGAGGTGGATGAAAATAAAGCTAAGGGGACCAAGAAAAAGAAGTCAGATGGGTCAGAGGAGAACCAGGAGAGAGAGAGAGAGTAATGTCATAAAAACCTACCCGGAAAAGAGTATCAAAGACAAGAAGGCAAACAGCATTGTCAAAGGCTGCAGAAAGGCCATGAATGATGAAGATTAAGAAAAGAACACTACATTTAGCAATTAAACAATCATTAGTAACTTTGGAAAGGAGTTTCAGTTGAATGATGAGGTAGGAAGCCAGACTGCAGTTAAGAAAAGAGTAAGAAGGAAAAACCATTTGTAGATGGCCTTCTCAAGGAGTTTAGCCACAAACTGGAGGAGATGTGTAGAATGATAGCTAGCAGAGATAGATGGGATTAGGAAGACATGGGAATGTTTTTAGGCAAGAGAGAGGCAGAGATTGAAGATCAGTGAAAGAACAGTGATGAGATAGCAGGCAATCTGCTGGAGAATATTGGATGGAGTGTGATCCCTTGTACATGTAGAAGGGTTGGCGATGGCCAGGAAAAAGGCTGCCTCTTTATTTGAGACAGTGGTAGAGGAAGAGACAGTGGTGAAAGGCTTCTGAGAAATGTGAGATAAGGAGGGAAAAGAGGGAGCTTTCAGTGAATGACCTCAATTTTTTTTCTGCTGATTTGAGGCAAGTTTCTCAGGTAAGTAGGAGAGAGGAAGCTATGTGAGCTTTTAAAAGGAATGAAAAGGTTTGGAAAAGTCGTTGTGGTGAATGGGATAATGAATCCATCAGAGAGGTATAAAAGGCTCACCCTACTGCAGTGAGAACCCAGCTGAGATATAAAACATGAATTTGTAGTGGATCTGGTCAGTAGGGTTTCATTATTTTCTCCAGCTCTGTTCAGCACTATGTGAGGGGGAGTGAAGGCACTGAGTGATGGGTGTAGTCCAAAACTGAAGCTTAGCACAGCCAAGATCAATGTTAGGATAAAGGGGCAAAGGGACTCAAGAGTATTCCAACCCCCCCCCCCCGCCGTCCCAACCAGTAAGTCAAAGGGCATGAGTGGAATGTGCAACCAGTCCTGGCCAGGGAAGTTGTGACATAAGGAGGGAGTGTAAGAAAATGGAAGGAGAAAGGAAAAGGTTTAAGATAAAAGCAAGTTTATTAAACAGGCATTCCAAAGACTATAGGGGAAGTGGTGAGCTGGTCAAGCACTTGAGGTTGGGGGAGGCTTGGGTTCATGGGGATGGTAATAAGGAAGTGGTTAATGGGGGTTGGAGAATGGTGTTTGACCAGTGACAACCAAGGCTTCAGAATCACTGAGATGGGGAGAATGTGATGGATTAGGAATCTGCAAGCTGTAGAATGTGTTTGGGTAGGATATCATCATCCCAACTCAGGGTAAAATCCTCCCAGGGAGGGAGAGGTTGGGGAAGGCTGGGACAGGGTAGAGGTGGAGTCATGGAAAATGCTGGGAGAGTGTACAATGGAATGGCTAACCAGGAAGACTAGGATGCTGGGAAGCTCCCCTCTTTCTCTGGCAGGCACTTTCCTTCTTACCCAGCAGGATCAGGCAAGGTGACAGAGGCAAAGGAGGTACGGATCTGCATTACTAGAGGGAATTTTCTCATTTCAAATTCCCTTTACCAATAAAATCACAGGTTTGTCTTCCTTCCCCCTCCCCAAGAAAAGCCTATGCTATGCTATATGAATATATGTATATCTGATCACCAGAAGACTGGTCATCAGTTGATGAAAAGGGGTGGGAGGAAATATATCGACTCATGAAGACTTCCTGCTAAGGCATAGAGGTTACATACAAATTGGTTACTTATAGAGCATGGTAATCTGCAGTGGTAGATAATCCATTCCATTAGAGTCATAATCTTTTGAAGTATTAGAGAATATATATTTGTATATTCACAGCAAATATACATTATAAATTATGTCTATGGTCATAGATTTATAGTGGAAGATGTCACAAAGGTCATCTTTTTGAACCTCATTTTGCATTGGAGGAAACTGGTACTTGGCCAGGGTCAGATACAGAGTAGGCCTCTGACTCCACATTCATTGCACCAGGCCCGTGTCTGTCACCTAGAAGAGGCCACTGCTTTGGAGAGTAACTTAGAAAATGAATAAATATGCAACAACTGAATATGCCATAATAAGCAAGTGTAGAATTATTTTTCAGAAGCCCACATTATCAGTATTGCATAGCTCAAGCTAGTGGAAATCATGTTTTCCAGGCCTTATCCCTGCATTGAGTAAAGAGTGACAATGTTGCCCGATATTATGCCAGAGCCTTCCTTTACCTCCGGTTCCATCTTCTGCATGCACTTCCTGGCCACTGACTCCTCTCTTGCCAACGTGACCTTCTATCTACCATGTGCATGCCTAAGTGCTTGCATTCTTTGTTGCTCATTAGAATGTGGCCTTCTTAAGAACAGAGACTGCTTCCCCCCTTATCACCAGGCTTACCGCAACGACTGACTAAACCACAAGATTGAAATTCAAGGTTTTTTAATTTATTTTTCTTTAGAGTCATGCCCTAAAAAGTTTTAAAATATAAACAAGAGTGAAATAGGGAAACGAAAGACATGGCTGAATTTTCTCATTTTATTTTTCCATGTAAATGATATTATTATTGGTAATATAACAATTTGCTGCTAATTTCTCCCTTTGTTTCCCTGTGCTCAGCTTCATTTTTTTGTTTCTATTTTGCGTGTGATACACAGTGATACCTTTGTCATTTAAGCTTGTCAGGAGACCAGTTTCACCATCCAATTGTACCATCCATTAATAAGTCAGAATTCTGTTAAAGAGTACCTCACTCAGCTCAGTACTTTATTTTCAGATGCAAATCGTCTTTCAGCAACTTGTAGCCTATTGCATTGTTTCTTTGTGACGGGATAATCACTTTGTGACATCTGAGGTTGCTTCTGAGGTTTGAGACACCTCTGTGGTCCAATTGATTTAGACTGATTTTCTGCCAGTTAGCCTGGTCTCGATTGGGAGCTATAATTAGAGAGCATATAAGGCTATATTTCTGGATGCATATAGACTTGTATTTATTCTGCAATACAATGTGGTAATTTTATACTGATGACTGTTAGATATTTGGTAGATATTAAGCCATTTAGCATACTTTGGCACTGGTAACTAATAGGAACCGGTCCTGTTGGTCACAGTGGAATCATAATAAGTAAGAATCATTTTATGAAAGAGCAAAATGAGGCCCAGAAAGGTTGACCAAGTTCACAGGTGACAGCGAGAATAAGGAGGAATGGACAGATGAATACTGGGGGCAGCATGGTACAACAGAAAACAAACAAACAAAACCAACCCTGAACTTGGAGACATAGCACATGGTTGCATACTTGGGTAAATCAGTTAATGTCTCTGCGATTGATTTTGTATTTGTGAAAGTAGGAGGATAGACTAGATAACTTCTAACTCTTGCGCTTT